AAAAAAAAAAAAAAAAAAAAAAAAAAAAAAAAAAAAAAAAAAAAAAAAAATCCCACACTAAAATCCTTTCTGTCTGGCAAAGTACTTTCTACAGTCTGGCACAATTGCTGTTGGCAGCTGCAGCATTAACATTTTAAATTAAAGGAAACATTGACATTAGGAGGGATCTAAGCTGCCAGGTAGCCAGTACAGGCATCTGCCAAGCAGAGCACAGAAATTCATGAGGTCAGGACCTTACTTCTAAACTCCTTCAATCCAAGTATCTACCAAGTCCACAGTCCAAAAGATTTTGGTGTTCTCAACAATCCTTGGCAAGCTCTCTCTAAAAGAAGACTATTTTTCTGACAGAAAGTAACGATAATTCATGCAGAAACAGGCCAATTAAAGACAGTAGCAGTTGGAAGGAGACCTTGTTAGCAGCGCCCAGACACTCTTGCAGGTGCAATAGCCAAGTCACAGCCTCTGGCAATAAATAGGTATGTTCTGGCAATTATATTAACCTAACCCCACTTCCCATCTAGGACACCAGAGTGTAGCTCAGTTGCTGACTCAGCTCCAAACTGTTGTCTTCTTCCTACAGCTGGATTTGCCCTTTATTACAGGCAGTACTGTTTCCAGTGAACACACTAAAACCAGAAGACAACTACTTTCAGTAATAATTATATGTCTCAAAGAAACATAACACGTTCGCAGTACAAGCACTGCACTCTCAATTAAAATGCATCAATTGCCAAGAAGTTTGTCTTCTTTACAACACGCTGTTTTGGGTTACATGCAGGTGCACTTCACATTCATTCCCACTCTTCTATACAAAGGCTACACCCTGCAGCAGCTGGCACGTATGCTTAGATGCCTTGACAATGTTATGACAGACAGGTTCAAGTTTTTAATCCTAAATCAGGCATACCAAACCCAAAACTGAAACAGATTGGCTATCAAGCCCTCTCTGCTTCAGAACAAAAGCACTGAGATTTCAATAAGCAACAGCAGCCTTGCAAATACGAGCACCAGCCAGGTACCCAAGGAGAGCTGCTTGGAGCAAGAGTCAAACATCTCCACCAAAGGAAATACAGGTTTCTAGCACTCATCTTGCAGTTAGACCAAAAGAACAAAACAAAAACCATATTGAGAATGCTGAAGAATAAAGAGACCACCACCTTTCACCCACCACCACGGAAGGAATCGAGCGATCAACAGGATCCCACCATAGACAAGCACAGAGTTCAGATACTAGATAAATCAAGGGCAAAAGAAAGAAAAACAGCATTGATCATATGTTCTGATTGAAATTTCAATATAATGCAACTCAAATCAGAATTACCACCCCCCTTATCATCCAAAAGCAATAGTATTAAAAGTCTTTAAATGAATACAGTTTATGAAATTAAAATATATTTGTCATTGCACTGTTAGAAACAGGTATCATCTACTTTTAAGAGATAATGCAGCAAAGCAGGTTCATATGCCTGACAACAGCAGAAAGACTTTTTCTCTTGAGGGCTGAAACTGCTTAGGATAAGAGCTTTTGTGTCACTCCATTCCACTGTTACTACTCCTGATGCGTCTGGCAAAAGCCAGAATTATCCTTCTAGGATAAGCCATATTGCCTCTGAAGGCACAAGAAGCTGAAGAAGTTAAGATGACATGTGCACAAGAACTGGGTTGATATATGTCACTTTTGGTTTGAAAATAGCTTCGTAATATAGAATTAGTTTAAGAAAAGTTAAATGATATGTACTTTTATCTATCTTCAAACAAATCGTCCTTGTTTTGAGATGCATCCAATCCATAAAACAAATACGTTGATTACATTAAATCAAAGCTCTTATCTTCAGCTTGTGACATTTTCCTCAAGCTCCCATTCTTCCCAAGATCATGAGAAAAGTCACCCATTTCAAAAGGTTCAAAAGATGATTCACAAGGATGCCAGTTTACAAGATTCTGTATTATCCTAAGGATCAAGGTAAGCCCCTGGGTCCAAGATACCAAGCAAAGGATTACAAAGGGTATTGTGGCAAATGAGAAGGAAACAGCTCTCTCCAAGACTTGAAAATGCTACTTCAGCCCCTGAAGAAATTTTCTTTTCGTTGGCAGTGACTAAGCCACACATAATTCATAGGAAAAAAATCAGCTGCATGATCACTAACTTGATTGTCAACTTACATAAAGATACAAGGAGAGCAGCTTACTTAAGTACAGATAAAGGAACAGCTACTTGAATCATGCATAAGCAAACAAAATCCACTTCCCAGCAAAGCAGAACATACCACTTCTTGTCTTGCTGGCTGGCTCCTGGGCTCCTGGGGAGATTTTCTATTTCCACTAAGACTGGGGCAGAAGGAACCGCTGTTAGGACAGGTAGGTTTGGTTTTACATTCCAGCTCTTTAAAGACAGAACACAAACAAGTCATTACATACACACTAATGATGCAATGACACATTACAGAGAACAAAACATATCACCACTTCTTCTTATGCACAAAACTAAAACAAGGCCACTGTCTTCCCTTACTTCCATGGCACTGGACACCTACACCCAGTCTTTTCCAGTACTGCACACAGTACTGGGATCATAGTGAATCCAAGGCTGCTCAAAGATTCCGATAAGGAGCTCTGGCCTGCCGTGTCCTTTTTAAATTCATGCACTAATGTTTTCCTTCTGTAGGAAACTGTGCAATAATGACTGGCACCTTTGTGTTGCACGTCTTTGGGCTGCCATTTGAAGCATACCAGCTCCTGAAAAAAAACACTCCTTTTGCACAGAAGGCAAAAGGTTGGGCAGAGCAGCAATCTATCAGTGAAGACCGAGTATTTTAATATTAAAACAACCCAAAATCTTGTTTCCACCAATATGTGACCCTTTCTGGTGCACTCTTTATTTGAAATGCTCCAGAAAGCAAGATACTGTCTTTACAAACTCCTAGTCCTGTTTTTTCTGACACATGGAGTTACTTTACACTAATATCATCCCTTTTCAGTGAAACAGGATATTCTGTGTACAAGTACTGAGTAGACAGGTATCTCTGATTTCCTTCTCAATTTCAGAAAACAAAGAATTTTTGCTAACAACATATTCTTTAATTTATGTGTGCATTCCCCTGTTTCAGAGAAAAAAATACTGTCATCAGGAACAACAAAGGTGCTAAAGAACTACACTCCCACCTTTTTTATAAATTTTAATTACCATATAAATTAACGTGCTTTGGATAATAACTCTCACACGAAAGTACTTTGTGTACCTGTGAAAATCTGTATCTATAAATAGTGCCATTTCTAGAGTACTGGGGCATGGGGTATCTTCCTCACTCAGCTAAACTAACCAATTATCTTGCTTGTCAATTAGCAGTCATGTCTTGGCATGCAGTTTAGTAGTTAAATGTTTTAACTTTCGATTGGTCAATTACTGGATTTCAAGAGCAAATAAAATTCTCAGATCTGTTGAAACACATTAAAACTACCTTTAAAACTAATGAAAGAGAGTCCTTACTTGTGATCCATTAGTTTGGCTGATAACAGCATTGTTTGCAGTACTGAAAGACAAGAACAATTTAAAACTGAGTCAGATCAACAAACTGCTTTTGCAGACTGATAGAACTGTAAAGATTTTCAGAAAGAAACATGAAGAGTCACAAAGATATTTTCAAAGTATTTAACTGTTCTCACAAAGAAAACTGAATAACTTATGCTTTAGGTCAGCTGTCTCATTCTAGGTAACTGAGGGTACCACATTATTCTTTATTTGTTCAAGCTGCAGTTTATCTGTAACTCATCTGGTTTTTCCTCTTCCTTTCCTTAACTAGTTTGGTTTAAAAAGCCTTCCTAATTCAGCAGTAGAGTGGGGCACGTTTAGAGCAAAAATTATACAGTTTTAGTTAAAGTCCCAGCAAATATGACATTGTTTAGAGTTCACCTACATGCTGTAATACTGTGTTTGTTCCATAACCAGAACTCTTCTGATTTGAAGTTTCACATCACAAAGTTTATCACAAAAATTAATGAGTTTCTTCTGCATACAGAATGGACTCTAATGGACTTAAAAGTAGCTATTCAAATTTCTGTGCACAGCAGCTCAACACAGTATTAATAGTAATTTTATATTATTAAATATTTATTGTACTTGATAAATTAAATATCTCTATTCTTGATGATTTCTGAATCTGCAAGAGACATTTCGCATTTTCAAGAGACTTAAAAGCATTATACGTTATACAATAACTATGCATTATAAATCACGCAAAGCAAACTTCTTCCCCAGACTTCTAATCTAAAAAAAGGTTCCAATCTCCTACGATCCATTAATCTGCTGATTTACGGTCTGGACAATAACTATCCAACCTGGCAAGCTGACAATTCAAACAGATTTCTGTATCTACTTCAGTGACTCTTTAGAACTATTTTATTTAAAATACCATAACATCAACACTGAACAAGCTGTTCCTTGCCCCTTCCCCACTCTGTCCCTTCTCTATTCAGAGAATGTGGAAGCTACCAGAGAATAGCCCACATTTAACAGAAATACTAAGGAATGCCTTCTGGGCAGTACCTTCCCCTGTGCTGAGTTAACACAGAAGAATGGAACAACATACATCTTTCATGATGCATTTCAATTAGCAACACTGAAGTGTAGAGTTTCAGAAATGCCATAGCTTGCTGTGGAGACTAACAGCAGTGCCACACCTAGGTGCAGATCAGGAGACTGCAGTCTTATCAGAAGAAACTGCTCATGAAGTTTCTCTTCCCACTCTCAGAATGACCTAAGCAGGCTGTAACTTGGAGAAGGGCTCGACAACATAGCATGATGAGAGCTGTGATTAATCAGATGGTTACGTTTTGCAGCAGAGGATCTTTAAGCACTTCAATGACACCCAGTTTGGAAGAATACTTTCTCATTTTATAAAAATAGAAACCAATACAGGAGGTCAGAGAGAGTAACTGCAGCCTTGTACCCACACTTCTCAAATACTTCCCCCTCTCTCATCAAAGAATCAACCCTCCTGCTACAAACAGAAAACACTGAGCTGTATTAAACATGATGTTTTCCAATGTTATTTTGACATTCCTTGCCCAGCTCCTCATGGTGCTTAACATCTATAAGCATCTACTTTTAAAAAAAAAATATGGCTGCAATTAAACACTGTGATGTTCACAAGTTATTAGGGCAAAGGGCAGAAACCAGAACTGAGTGACTTAGTTCCTTCACTATCAGTGTTCTTAGTTCCTTTTAGGCTTCATACCTTCAGGAAGGGTATGAAAACTGTGTGATTCAGATACATATGAGTAATTGACATTACAACAGCAAGGATGAACTTACACATCCAGGAAGACCTTTGGTACAGAAATAACAAACCAAAAAGCCTCCCGTTTTCAATGTTGATCATGAATAAAAATAAATACTTAAGTATATAAAAATAAACTCAAGTATTGTACAGAATATAAAATCACGACCCTATTTCAAATATTTATTTTACTATCTTTTCTCTGTGACCTTCACTTGATGATGTACTTCAGTGACACAGCCAGAGTAGGCAGATTTCAGAAGGAAGACATCCTCACACACTTTTACCTGATCTCTTCACGTGGCAGCACATAGAACTACAGCTCATATCCAGCAAGAATCATAGCTGTCATAATCAAACTTCTTCTGCTAGTAAGCAAGTCTGGCAAAACTGTCTATGTGACAACAACACAAGAGCTTTGCTTTGAACTGCAATTTTTATGTAAAGCAAACAAACACAATACCCACGGCAAAACCACAGTTAAAAGGCTACCACTGTACACCCTCCTTCTGCAGACACGTGCTCAAGTACAGGTGGCAAACATCAAAGAGAGAAACTCAAATATTGGAATGCACCTCACCTTGTTTCTTCCAGTTTAGCAGTGTGTGCTGCAAAAATACAAAGCGTTAATTAAAATTTAATTTATAATTAGGTTATGAATTAAGTATATGATTAATAAAAATAACCTAGCATTGCCTCAAACAAGGCGACCAAAAGAGCAAAAGTTGCATGCAAAAATGTGAAGAGCAAACCAAGCAGTAAGACTTAAGCAAGTGTGTGAAAGCAGACATGGCAGTCATACTTGACCTGTGCAACAGTGGGAATAAGAGCCAAAGCATCACATGCTGTCAGGTTGTGACAACACAGTGCAACCCCCAGCAACAATGAAAAAAACCTCAATGAAAAAAATTTTCAAGTCTATTCATAAATTTCAAATATTATCATTAATATATCACTGCTTCCTGGACCCAAGTTTTCCATCTTCATCTTGAGACCTACTGTGCAATCTTCATGGGTGTTTTACCTGCAAAGCAAGCTGGAATGACATGCTTTGGAAACAAGCTCTTTCTAATAAATACATGTAGTCTCCTAAATAAGGCAAAGAAAACCTAATTTTGAAAATTCAAGAGAAGGGCAAAGTAGCTGCAGAGGGATTCCTAGACAGAACTTTTAAAGGAGCTGAATACTTGATTCTCACACTGGATTATACTTCTCAGAATGGAAGTTCTTTTACCTTTCATTTGCAGTGTTCGTCTTGAATATCTCTTGCTGGGCCGTCTTTCAAACGATGCTGATCTCCTGGCTTTGTTGGTCTTAGTGGTTTGATATTCTGTTTTCCCACTAAAAATGCCATGTGAAAGTATAAAGCCATAAATCACTTATTTTTAATGATGGAATAGAGACACACTGCTCATCAAAAACACAACACTATTTTCAATTTGTAGCCTATTATCTGATCTCACTTCTATTAAAACAACCCAAAATTCACACCTCAAAGGGTCTTTCATAAAAGAGGGAAAGAGTTTTACAAACATTCTAATATTCACCCCATTTTCCCAAGACAAATGGCTGAAGCAATCACTCCTTAAACCTTAAGCAGTTGATAAAACACACTTGCCCCTTACATATATTTGTGGTCACAGTGCATGAGGTTTGGGAGAGGTTGAAAAATGCTAGGAGAGAATACAGCTTAACTAATGTTGCTGAAGCTCATAAAGAACGATAATAGGACTAAAAACTAGCATCTAGATGCTCCTGTTCCCAGATAAGTATTTTTATTCAAGTTTGGCCAGACTCTACGGCCATGGCAGTGGCACCCTCATGTTTTGCTGACTCCTTGGTACCACTGATCTTTTCTGAAGGAGGCTACACGGTATTGCTACAGATGCTGGAAATCAATGAAAAATATATGCACACTGCCTGGGGTCAATGCCCCATACCCTTCCACATGTTCTTACCAACTCTGGTGGGGAACCAACACCATCCTGCAGGCTACTCTGGAATCACAAGCCATTCCATAGACTGCTACCTGCACTAGCAGTGCCTTACACAGAACAGGCATTATCTGAGGCTTCTGAAGCATTAACACCCCTCAAACAGCTGGGAACTCGGAAGTCAAGAAACTTGCCATGACCCCAACTGTGCAAGTTAATCATCCATCCTCTATGGTATATCTAAAAACTGTGGCCTTTCCAGAAAAAGTGATCTATAAAACACAATGTACTACATATGCTATTTAAGGAATATAAACCTTGAGAAACCTTTGGTTTCCAACTGCAACAGACCAGAATCACCAAGATAAATGAAAAAATACAGGGGGGGAAATCCATACGATTTAATAAAACCAATAATCCAACTCAGTTTGCAAGTTTCACTGTCCCAGATAAAAGAAAACCAAGTTCTCCCATTTTCATGCATAATCCAAGAGCAGCAGGAACTGACAGAACAGAGGTGCTAAAGGACAGACGACACTGACCTGTATCGGAACCGAGATCCCAATCGAATGAAGCCTGATCGACTTGAGCTCTTCTGGACAGGACCTCGGAGCCGGAAGAAGGCATGATGTTCCACTGCACATTTCCACAAGTGTTTGCAGGCTTTGGGATGATCCAGTCTAAAGACAAAAGTGTGCTCCTGCTCCTTTCCCTTAAAGCACATAAAGCACACTGACGGCTTACGAAGGGACTAAATAAGTCAAAGCTACCATTCCATGCAAGCCAAATAAAATTTGGGTTCTATGAATACTGAAACATACGTTCAAAAATATTTTAGGCAGAAATATCAACTTTTTCAGAAGCTTTAATGACAACTGCTCCATTGTCTAAAATTGGAAAAGGCTATAAAGTCCACACATTTAACAAGTCAAACCTCTGAATAATTACAAATTAAAGACACTACTACAATAGGAAGCTACTTCTCAATCAGGCTAACATGGTTTCACTTCTAAATTGGATCTCCTCAAATTATCGATGCTCATTTTTTTATTGTCTCTGCTCCATGCAATTTCTTTGCCATGGGAACAATTCTGGAACCTGCTTAAGGAATTAATTCCATTAAATATAGTACATGGCCTTTTTCTAAACTTTTTTGTGCAATGCACACTCTTTCAAAAGTATCTGGTCTAGTTTCACAAGGCATTCTGCTTTTAAAAACAGGTGAGAAAAAAAGTACTCAAGTCCATTTATTTTTCACTTAAGTCCCTTCATTTCCCACCTCCCCCCCTGCCATGTCACAATAAAAAGTCTTGAAGGCATCCACGCTAATTCTCAGAAATGAAATATAGAGATCAGGAGTATGTAAACTAGTGCTGTATAACCAAGGTCGAGATGTAACTAAACAGATATTTATCTACCTGTTCATCATCTTCAACAACAACCAGAGTGAGTTTGTTTTTCTTGAAGTCAAGCCTTGTTATCTTTGGCCTGCAAGACGAACAGAAAGTGCAGGTTATGTCTAACTCTCTTAGGAACTCCCTGAGAAGGTACCTAATATTCACAGCACTCTCACATCCCAAACAAATTTTTCTTTTGTTATCGCAAAATAAACAAAAGAGTAAAAATCTAAAATACATTTGAACATACATCAGAGAGCTTACCAGAAAAACAAGCCAATCTTCGTGTCTCCTTCGAAGACAAGAACTCCCGTAGGTGTCAGTCCCAGGCTGTAATCATTGCCGTCTCTTGCCTAATTGCCAGAAAATACAGATTATACTCATTTTGGTGTTTGACCCTTTATCCAATTTACTCCACCGGATCATGTAGTTTATTTGCCCAGTGTTACAATTACACACATATCTGCTTAGACAGCAAAACTCTCATGTTTCGATGATCTTATGCATTGGATTTCTCTTGTTTACAACTCTTCAATAAGGCTGACTAAAGTGGAAAACTAAAGATTCTTGATTTGTCTGTGTAATAGGGACCTCCTTATGCAGTTCACTGCACTTCCTTCTCCACAGGAGATCTATTTTTACTTGTAGTTCTTCAACTAGCAGCTGACTGGACCCCAGCCAATTTTAATTACTAAGATTTTTCACAAAACTCTTAGTTAAATACAAACTGTAGTACATACTGCCACACCAATCACATATTTAACACAGAGCAGATATGCCTGGACTAAAGATATCCTCTAGAAATATATACCAAGGAGTGACTGTAATATTGACACAAAGCCAGACCACTTGTTATAGAGATTGTATGAGTAAAATATTCCTTTTTATTCCCCCCTCCCCCCGCCCTTAAAGTAAAACCCGTGTTGAAATGCAGCACAAAGCCAACATTATCATTTCCAAAGGTCACTACGCTGTGGTTAAACATACCTTGACTATGTGCATGTCTACACCATACATTTCCAGCCACTTAGCTTTGTTTAGGTAGTTAGTTTCAGCCTGTGCTGGTGTTTGCCCCCTGAAATAAAATTTTTACTGTTAGGTAGGTGCCTGAAAAAGCCAGAAAGGAAAAACTGGTATATGAGGAAAGAGTAGAAGAACTTTGTGAAAGTTTGTGAAAAACCTCAACACTGCTGACACTTGTACCCTGTCATGAACACCAAGGTCACTTCTGTAAGTTTTAATCTGGAAGCGCAGCTGCAAAAGTTACTGAACTGCAAGGTTTTATACCTCATCATTTTACTCAGACGTTTCGAAAAGTTTCATTTTTCACATTATATCCTCTTAGAAATTATGCCAGAACCATATTAAAATTATATTTCTGAACAAAACCACAGAAGAATCGTCAGCAGCATCTTCTTAACACATTCTTTCCACAGAAAAATCAGTGCAAACAGTTGGGTAGCATTCACTGGAAGATCTAGTACCTGCATTCCTTCCACTTGTCAAAAACAGCCAGTTCCATCTCTTCAGTCTGAGTGGGAACAAACCTGAACTCAGACACCAGTTCAGGGACATGTTCAGCAGGATCATAGTCTCCAAGTTCAGCTACAAAAGAACAGCAGTGTTAAACACTGTTCCCAACAGACACAGTGGATATTTTTGCATATAGCGGAACTTTGCATACTTCTCTAGTTAATCTAAAATACTAAACTTCTTTTTGCATTCCTTCTTCTCCTCCAGTTCTCCTTATTTTTGAAGTGTCATTTTCTTTGATAGGGAAATTATGGACACTGAACAAATGGTTGTGCGGTCTGCACAAAAGCTTTGTATTAATTTTTACGAAGTGCTATTCACATATTCCTTAACAAGCTTCCTATAAAGAAAATTTATCAACATCCTTGAAGTTTACCTTTTTTCTTTCTTGCAGAAAGTTTTCAGCATTTTAATCACTGAAGTATCTACTGAGATGACAGCTGACTAAAGTTGCAATGGAATTTCGCCTTAAATTATTAAAACAACAAATCTCTTGAGATTTATAAAATGCAAACCCAGTTCTGACACTTGTCATAAAACTATTTGTCCATTCTAAAAATCAGCTTCTGGTTTTATGATTCAAAATCACCCTGTCCTGCTAAAATTGCTCTGTGTCAGGCCACAGTCATGCAGCTGTTCATTTGTTGCTCTCCTTTTCATCTCAGAACATAATAAATGCCCTACAGGGTCAGTCAAATGGCTCATCTAGTCCACTGCTGCATGCTCAGAGGGGCAGTGAGAGATGCTATTTACAGAGTATATTGGAACATACTAGTCAATGGGTGTGCCACACCAAAAGCACAACCTCCATTTTCCACAGATGCTAACAAGTCCAGCTTTTAAAGATAGATATGTGCCTAAATGCTGAAACTCACAGCTGGACTCTTAAAAAAAGTCCTGATTTTCAGAGTCACTAAGTGCTCCTCCCACTGATTTCAAGTTGCTTCTTAATGTTCAGCTCATATCCAAAAAATTAGGAGTAATTCTGTAACTTCAACCTTGTGAGTCTGATACAGGCCAATAGCTGCTCTTTCTGACAGAAGAAATGTTTGTGTAGGAAAAAAAATCAGACATCTTTGTGAAGACCTGAAGAAGTCAAATAAGTGCACACAGTATTCCACAGGTACAGAAGTGACAAATGATCTAAAAACCTGTTTCTTGGATTCCTGAACACTGCAAGCATAATAATAGTCTTTTCACCCCCTCCTTTTTTTTTTTTTAATGCTGACTGAGGAAGCCTGTAGTTCTATAATAATTTACTCCCACTAAAATGCCTGCCTCTGTTGAAAGGAATGCTGTCAAAGCCAGCTTAGGTTCCAGCTGATTTAAATAAAAGTACACAGCTGTCAGACAGTAAGATTAAAGCCCTGCTATGGACCTCATTGGGGAGAGAGGAAAGAAAAAAGGAGCACAAAAAGAAATGGACATATAGCCTAATTAGATCACTTTGTTTTTCCAAAATCTTCTTTACTGAACCTGTATCTTAAGGCTCTAACAATGCTAACATTTATAACTCTGGAATGCATTCTAACTGTTTTTCTTCCACACCAAAGAGCAGGTCAAAAAGGCAAGTAGCTTCACAGTTTAGCCCCAGCTCTCTATACATAAATATGATTAGAGCCATTAGGTGACTTAGTTCAACCTAACTCCTGCAAAGTTAGTACAACAGTGCATTGATTTATAAGATGAATGTGGCGCAGAGAATTTGTGCAGCACAAACAAATGGCACATCTCCAAATTGCCTCCTCATCAGACAGGACTGTACATCAGCTTTACAGCAGAGGTTCCAGGATTTTTTGCAGACTCAAACTGGGTTGAATAAGGCCATATATCGATATCCTCCAGTAAGGACCCAAAAGCCTACTCTAGCAGACACTTGTAAAACTTCAAGCCTCTTTTATTTTGTGAGCTCCTCTGCTTGGAAACACAGCAAACTTCTTACTCGTTAAGATCTCACCCTCAACTAAACAACAGAAGACACTGGCCAGGAAGATCAGTGATGTACAACCTATAAAAGCAACTTGGGGTCAGACACAGCTCTCAGCAAAGCCATGGATGCTGGATTCTCAGCTGGAATCAAAAGTTAAAGACAGCTCATTAATAAAATCTCAGCTGGCTCAAGCATAGTGCAGTATTGCTGAGAAAAAAGATAGAACAAGGATCTGAAATATCAACAAGTGCAGTTCAACCGTGAATGCTCATGTATGAGCATGAAACACGGGGCACTAAGATGTTCCTACAAATAAGCTGAAATCAAAATCTGATATTTTATATACAGGACTTTTCAACTGAGCGCAGAACAAAACCAATTTTGTACCTCATTTGGACAACAAAAAACACGTGGCAGAAATCATACGATCAAATAAAAGTGAGCTGTGTTACTACATCAAAGCAATTCAGGAAGACTGCAGAACCCATATCTTGTGTCAAAGTAGACAGGTTTGCACAGAAGCACTCAAGAAAACAAGTTTAGGGCAAAGCTGCTTATGTTCTGAACCTTCTTGTTCTGTTTCAGAGAAATCGAGTAATTTTCTGTATATGCTCTCAGCACAGCTACAATCAAAAAGAGCTGTGTTTCACACTGGATCACTACTGTCTGGGTAGAATCTCTTTTCTGTAGACAGTGAGGACAGAATAAAAGAGTAAATAAGAGCCGCTCATGAAACTTCATCCTTCCCCTCTCGTACCTACTCACCTTGCATGTTATAAGCTGCCAACTGGACGGCTGTGTCAAAAGGACATTCCAATCTGCCGTAAGAAAAATGCACTGTTAGAGCCTGAACTGACACTATTTAGCAGACAACTTATACAACTGACAGTAATGTTTCGGGTAAGAAAACAAAAAAGGATTAGCAGATTTTCAACAAATTAATAGGAGATAAGCATTACATTATTTAAGGATTGCTGACATTCATGCACAGAAAAGTAGTATTTTAGACAAAAAATAACATTATTAAGAAAAACTTTCTGATTATCAAATAAAAGTTTAATAAATTCCATGCTAGACAGACTGTATTGTTTAAATGGCTGCTTACTTTCCACTAAGAATATCCAGTTTCAGCTGCAGAACAAATAAATACCTGTAGGATTAAATAAGAAATAAGTCATTGACTAATAGTTCTAATATGTCACTCAGTCAACAGGACTAAATTAGAGCTTGACAAATAAAAATGTTTTCTACTCTTTATATGGGTTTTCAAGACTGAAGAAACTGCACTATGACCTTTCAAGGCTCATCAGTTGGGTTTTCGTGTTTTGCATGGATTTCAAATGAAGGAAATCCAAAGTTAGAAGTTGTCAAAAGCTGACCTACAGTGTTGCATCAAAAAAGAAACAGGATGCCCAAGTAAATATAATTTTTTTCTCTTTTGTTCCTACGTGGGCAAAACCCAATTTGCATCTTCTACATTTCCTTCATTATTCACAGACATACCAACCTCATAAGAGAATGGTTATTTTGAAGTCTTGAAAAAATAAATGCTTCTAATAGGGATTGCTTAGTTAAAATATAACCCAAAAAGCTGACTGCAAAGAGAGTAAAATTAAGGGTAGGCTGTGGCCTTTCCAACTTCCAAAGGCAGCTTTCCTCCATTGCCTTGCTTATTCTGTACTCTGCCCACTTAAAAATTGGGCAAATATTGAATACAAATCCCTTTGGTGTGCAACACCAATTCTTCCAATCCAACATCCACGAAGAGCAGCTCCCTTGCTCCATTGTGGTACACAGCCTTCCTCCAAAAAGAGAGGAACTCTCATCAACTCTCACACTGGCATCTGTGAGGTATCCACTTTGAATTCTAGCACAGATGCCCAGAAGCCTTACACAACACCAAAGACATTGCTTCTGCTTCAGCGTGTGCCTGTGTCTCCTCATACTTACATGCACAGACACAAAAGAGATGCAGGTGTTTTTCCTACAGGTCCCACAGAAATCTACAAATACTTTGCCAAACCATTTATTATCCAAAGCCTTTCGAACACTACCCCCTCCATGGGGAATATATTTGTTTGGTACTGACCCTAGATATCAAAAGAATGAGTACACAGTGGGTGTGACCAGTCTGTGCTTATCAGCCACACAACACCTGCAAACAATTCAAGCACTTCCCATGCTGTGTTACATGACCTCTGACTGGCGGCATCTGATGGGAAGCTGCCAGAGAACATGAGCAAGCTGCACCTTGGAAGCTGAAAAGTGGTTTCAGCTGCCTGTCCTGCTGCACAAGGGTGGAACCCTGAGAAAGCCCCCAGTGACATCGAGAACCCACAGCACAGCTCTGCTTCCCACCGCTTCTGCTTCCTTATGGTGTCAAACTGTCTCAAAACAGAAGGAAGACTCGCTGCTCTCCTGTTGTGGGGGGATTAGCTAAGCAGGCAGACAGCGTTCAAAAGCCCTCAGGTTTCAGGTCTGCCCTGCTAAAACCTGTATAGCAAGGTCTGACTGGCAGAACTCAGTCAAGGTGAATGAAAATGTTTCATAGTGGTAGATACAAATGTAGGTCCCAATTTTGTTTACAGTTACTGTTTTTAAAGAGTGCTAAATATTTATTTACTAACATGAATGGGGAGGTAAAACTTCCCAGATCTGCAGGGAAGCATTAAAAAGCAGCAGTTATCACATTATGTTACCACATGTAAATATGAAGTTGCACAGGGCACATACAGCTGCAAGGGGTAATGCTACTATAATCTTCCTGGTAGAACTCCCAGGGATTTGGCTGAAGTGCAGATTGGAGATGCACACAGACATAGACCTGAACAACAAACAAATGCACTTCACGCCATTACAAATGGCTGAGGGTATTAAATGTTCACAGCTATGACGAAAACATAACTTGAGGGATCAGCAGCAGTGGCAACAATACAAGGAAACAACACCTTTTATAACAGATTTATACTGCAGACAGTTCGTTGCATTCTCTTTCAAAATACCCCAATAAGGTCTCAGCACAACAAGAAATGCAGTACTATGAATGAATCTGTGAAATGCTTTAATCAAGAGAAACTGCTGCTCACCTGATACTACAATCCTACACATACAATACTGTCAACTCACTTGTCAACATGGCAGCAAAATACTATTTTCCCTTTCCATAAACTCTACAAAGACCACAAAAGCAATGAAATGCTCATTGAACTTCATTTTTGCCAAAGTGAAGCTCTAACTTGCAATTCAATGCTTTTCTGCCTAGAGACAGGATGACTGCATGCAGTTGAAACTAAATACAGCTTAAGAAGAATAAAGACAGAGCAATAATGTCTGTTCTCTTCAGTAAAAACCTCTGTCCATTGTGTATAAGCTACTCAGATCAGATGCCAGAATTGTCTAATGAAAAACAGTGCATTAAGCAATATATAAATATTTAGTGCTCTTTATGTCACAGCTCATGCATTTCAAGACAGGTACATTAGGATAAGAGAGCTGCATTTACAAAAAGCCAAGTTAGCAAGCAGCTCTAAGGAACTCTTTGAAACATCATAGAACTGTTTAAATAAATACCACAAAGCATTTCCCTGGCCTTATTTGGGTACCTGTCTCACATAAAATCCCTCTTACCTTGTTAGCTCTTCACGTAGATTATTGGGCTCTGATGAGTAAAACTTTACACGAAAATGCAGACAATACGGTGGGCCAACTGCGAAGCAGAATTCATTCAAGACAGCAGTAACAGTTACTGGATGAGACATTTCTTTATTACACAGAATCACATCACAAAACTTGACTGAAATTGGTTGGCAATGTCCTACCACAAGGTCTTAAGGCAGGAATTCCTTTGTGACAGGGAAATCCGTGAAGAACATCAGGGTGAAAGGACACAAATATGCACACGAAATAGTTTTATATGTTACAAGTCAACCCAACAGTCATATCACACTAACTTGACTCAGCCTGCCAAGAGCACATGAATCTAGGTTAATCCCTATATTTAAGGGACTATCCATCACCAAGAAAGCTGTGCATCTTGGCTCTGCAGTTGACTAAACCCTCAGGCACGCTGTTGGTCTCTGCAACACCTTCCCAGAGCTCTGGGAAATACTGCTGACATCTCAGACCCTTCTATTCCACAAAAGTTTAGACACATTTTATGGGGACTTAAGAGACCCTTCTACTGAACAATCATCTTTTCTGGAAAGCAAAGAGTTAATTCAGCAAAAGGATGGATTAACAGTTCTTTAAAAATGTGCAGCGCTCTGCTGATTCTTGCATTTGACAGGAGGAATTTCTCTCTCTCTTGGTGCTTCCAAAACCTCTGTTGTATTAACACAGCACCACAAATCCCTGAAGACTTCCCACAGTGCAGACCAAGGAAGCTGCTAAACAACAATCAGCCGATGCCACATCTTACCCAAGCCACACCACTGAAACAACCAAGCCACACTAAAGGCTTGTGCAGCAGGTAAGGACTTGGTGGTCTGAACAGAAATTTGGGCATTCAGGACTGCCCCAAGGGATGGAGGCTCCAAGACACATTTTCCTACAGTAAGGATAACAATCTCTAACACTAAAACATCTTCAGCTGTCTCAACTCCACTTTAACTATAATTAATGAGCCTATAACATGTTTAATTAAGAACACTAGAGTAAAGTAATATGAGCTACAGAGGGAAGAGGTTATTAAACAATCAGTAGCACCACGTGGGACTTTTGTCACTGGGTCTTGTCACCCCTCATAGGACACTGCCCCCACCACCCATTCCAACTCTGTGCTTCCTGTATGTCAAGACCCCAAGAGAAAATGGAAAGGACACTTACTTTTAACTTGCTTTTTAATGCTTTTTGTGTTGTCCAGCCAATGCTGAAAAATAAATAAATTTAACGGAATTATCAATAAAGAATTCTCCCAGAAGAAAAAAAAAAAAGGAAAAAAAACCCCTATTTGTTAGTGAAGACCATCCCGGAATAACAAGTAGTTTGTTAAAACAATCTAATCCAAATCTTTCACAATTCACAGCTCTCTCCATGCTCAATGAAGATCCCTTTGTTTAAAGTTTAAAATGCAAATTGTCAGTTTTGAACAACATCCTGTAGTACCTTATTTAAAGCCAGTCCTCAAGAATGTACTTTCTACTTAAAAGAAAAGAAAAACATTCTAACAAACCACTTCACTAGAATTTTCATCTTGTCCAAACAAACACTTAATTCACACATTAGTAGGTCAGCCAGTGACAATGTGCAAGAGAGGCATAAATCATAGCTGGAGACTCTGGCACTCAGTTGTGTGTGATGTTTACTTGAGGCAGGAAGGGGAGAGACAAAATAAATATTGTTGGCTTCCAGGCATTTTCTTTAGATGACTCAAGTGCAGTAAAAGCAAAGCCATCTATGTCCTGACTTTAGGCTCAGCTCTACCTAATTCTCAAAAATCACAGGTGACATTAAAACAACTATCACAAGAGGACAGAAGTTACTGCCTCACCTAGCTAATTATAAGCTGTATACTAGACATGAAGCCAAAATAATGGTCTCACCTCTACTGTGTACAATAGCATAAGAAAAAGAAGCTATGGATGGCAGATTGAGAGAAACACCTACACATATACACTGTGCTTCCCAAAATAACTGTATATAATCGCAGTGCTGGAGAGTTCATCCCAGAAGTTACAGCTCAAAATCTAACACATGGCTAGTGGGAGAGATCTCCTTCCTCGACATGGCCAACAGCTCCCTCCTCCAAAGGAGGTGACTCAGTTAAACAGGAAACACGGCACCCTAATTCAACCTAATTGCACTGACTCTACAGCCAGAGCAAACTACCTACACACCATGTCCTGCATGGGTCACCATGCCCAGGGAACACCACCTCATCTGATCAATCCCAAATGTCACCTTGCAACTAATACAGATAAATTATATACTTAGCAACACTCCTTTTTTTAAACTATGTGCCGTGAAGTTCACAGAGGGCCCCATGGAGGACAGAGAAGCAACAGGAGTATGAAAAAGAACCGGTATTTTCAGGTTGCAATGCCAAGTGCAAACACATTCCTGTCTTCAGAACAGCCCTGCCTTCTGCACAGAGTGTGTGAAGTCAGCCTGTCATACACCCGGGATGTGCAGTGATTGCTCTATTAGCTGCAGATCAGAACAACTGAACCATCTGCTGCTGCTGTGCACACAGCTGAAAATGTTCTCATTACCTATTAAAACAAAGTGGCTACAGAAAGCTATCTGAAATGTATCTAATATATTTTTAAAATAAAGCAGGAAGCTAAAGAAAGAATAAAGTAAATATTGACGTCTATTTTGCTTACACAACCAGGGAAATGGAGTCAAGCATTTTTTTCTCTTCCAGAAAATCATAATATTTTTTTCTATTCCATAAACTCGCTGCAAGAGACAGCCTACTCGCTCCTTCCTACACCAAAAAAATATACTAACTACCCACTCAGAGTCTTGCAGGTGATTTAGATGCAGGAATGACAAAGAGAGCCCTTTCTAGGCTCCAGGACAGGCTGTGCCCGCCTGTTTCATCTCCCTCCTGTTTTTTCTCATCTCCCCCACATTCCATGGGAAGGCAACCAAGAGGCCCAGGACAGGCACCGATAGCACTTCTAGCACTTCATTCTGCTCAGCTCCTACCACTGCTGCTCACAGGAGCTCTGTCTGAATGGTGAGAGTGTGCAGGCAAGAAGGGAAACAGAACTGATTTTAAAGGGGGGTGGGGATAAAACAGAAAAAACCCCAAACCAACACACAAATGAACAGACACAGACATCAAGAAATTTGAGATTTATTCCAAGTGATTAAAATGGAATTCAAGTGGACCTGGCAAAAAAGTTTACTTTTGATGAGAGTTTGCTCAGCACAGTCTACTGCTGAAATCCAGAGATAAAGTTTGCTAAACAGAAGGCAATACAAACAACAGACTGCACAGGGTACTGGAAGTCCTTACTAAAATAGTTTGCTGCTGCAGAAATTAAAAAACTCACATACATTAAAAAAAAAAAAAAAAAAAAAATCCCAACCCAGCAAGGGTTTTCAAAAAGTTTGTGTAAATTAGGTTTGTTTAATAAGACACTGAGGCTAAAACTGGTCCCACACTTTACGGAATTAATGGGCTCATACTTAGTGCAATGCTATGCAAATCATTTCCAGCATTAAGCACTGCATCAAATAAAACCGCCAGAGTAACAAACCAACGTGTTGTAGAATTCCATTAGGAAAAGCAACTACTTCATGCTTGCAACCTGTAGGTTAGCATTAGAAATTAGCTAGAATGTTCAGTGCCCCTTACTAGAAACACCTCTTGAGTAATGCTGGAGGAAAAGTCCAATAGCCCAACAAGTAACAAGGAATCTTCATCTTTTGCATCACCGGACATGCTACACTGTTCACTGTAACTCAAATTAACCTGTTCCCTCGGCTCCCAGACCAAGCCTAATATATGGTAAATAACCTTGCAAACAGCTCTTTATGTCACCTCCTGCCATTACTTGGAAAGGGGAATCTATTCCTAACCATCAGACTACAAAGAATGCAGAAATCTCAAGAAAATGACAATTCTTTCATTCAATTCAACTGTTTCAAGAACTTCTTTAAAAAAACAATTACTTGAATACTAAAATCCAAAAAGTCAGGAAGAGTTTATATTGTGTTCTCCCCAAGCCCCAGTGCATCATAAACTCAAACCAGTGACCACTCCAGTAGCAGAAAAGAAAGAAAAAAAAAAAAAAAGGCAATCCTTTAGTGTATGGATCTATTCAAAAATCATTTGTAGTCAAAACAAGTAGGAAATTTCTCAAATTTTTGTTTAACTGCATGTTGCTAGTTTATGTCAGCAAGTGTAACTAACTAGTTCAGTAATAGATTTAAACTGGGTAGCATAAAGACTGACTCCTTCAGAGCTAGTGGACAATTCTGTCCATAGTAAGGGACTGGATTCTTACACTGTTTATTTAACAGGTCTCCTGAATAATCTTTGACAAGTCACTTGATTAGTCTCTGCCTTTGTTTCCAGCTGCAGATTGGGTTTCTGCTAGAACTCGCCAGCTCCTCTTTGCAGGAATGGCTGCTATCGCAACAGTTCTTCATTTCTAAAAGCAATTAATTATCTCTGGCTGTTGCATTCAGCTCTTCTGGCAAAATCCAGTCTTTTCTGCTTCGTTATACACAGTACATCATTAAGGTCCAGTTTAAACAGATTGTTATCTCTACTCTGCTGCTTTTCAGTCACAGATAGTTAAAAAAAGGAAGCAAACCAAGCTCGAAATCCCCTGTACCTGGTAGACTGTGCAGTATCAAATACTCAATCAGGTGCTGTCAGGACTGGAAGTAACAATTTGCTGGACAAAAGCAAGCCATCAGCCATTGCTGTGGCAGAAAAGATTAACTCTTATTTCCCCGTTTCAAGATGCAATGGCCTTATTTGCTAACATCAGTAAGAGAAAAAAGTTTATCATACAGAGAGCTTCACCAGTTAAAACTAACCCGCTCTCTGAGATCCTAGGGACATGCAAATACATCAGAAGCCACATGGCAGTAACTGAGTTAGGTACCCAAAACATACAGGTACAAAAAGATAAATGCAATGGAGTCATTCACTATCAATGCTCAACATCCTGGACTGCACAGGCTTAACAAAATTAACATGACTTTTATAATGTTATAAATGCTGTTTTCTCATTTCTGTTGGTATGCGTGGTTCTGAATGCCATCCCTCCACTACTGTAGTGGTCTCTTCCTCCTCAGTGTTAAATGTCTCTTCTCTGCAAGAGGTTGAAGACCACTTTTCACTACTGGGAACTGCAGCCCAGCAACAGCTAATGCCACTAGCCATGAAGTTTGCTTCAGACCTTGATCACCAGTGATTTCCTCTGAGGAGAATGTTCTCTACAATTACAAGCTAAATATGAAATCCGATTGCTTCTTTGAAAAGACGCCACCAGGTTATAAATGTGTTTCAGGGCAGTGTACTGTGTACAAAGTTTCTTTCAAAGAGTCAGGTTTGTGGAGTTTTCTGCCATTGTACAAAGCTGTAACACTTATGAGATCACTTTCAAATTGTTCTGGACACAGACCTTCAGGTAAGTCAAGGAATATAGGTCACTACCTCCATTTTCTATGCTGACCTTGAACAATTCAGATATATGTCTCAGCAGAAACTGCGCTTCTCCTATGCCATCCTAATTGTGAAATAATTCTGAAGTGTCTTTAAAAAACAGAAAAAAATAGGTCATAGATCTAACAAGTAAGATTGGCATATGCAGTATGAAAACTCAGATCTCATTCTACCTGGGGATGTTGGGCTAAGTGAATACAGGCTTAAGTTACAAGGATGAAGGACAGAGAAAAAAACACTCCTTGTCTAACGGCTCACTTAACTTGCAGCTACCCTTGTGTACAGGATGACGTACTTGGCTCTAAGAAGAATCTATATAAAACTGCAGAGACCCCAAGTGAAAGAACTGTGGTTGTTTCTGACAAACAAACAATGCTCTGTGCTTCTGTTGTCAAAACCCTTCACGTTTTTAGCAACACACAATAAAACACAAACAAATTCGGGCTTGGAAGTACCCTCTACTCAAACTGTCTGGTACATACAAACACACCTATATCCTCCCAAAATTTCTAGTTGCAGGTCTGAGTCACAACTAATTTGAACAAATCAAAGGTATACCCCTCCTGTAAGCAGACATTAACAAGATGACTTTTGCTGAAGAGAACATTGATGGTATTGGCAAAGGAAAACTTTGTCCACTCTGTAGAACAAAAGGCCAAGCACACACTCTAGTTCTGCCCCTTCCTCTCTGCATCAGCAGCACCAAGAGTATCGAGATGACACACAAAGCTCTGGGGTCCTGCTGGACCAGCCTGCCCAGTGACAACAGGAGGTGTGACAGGAACACGTGAAAGATAAGAAAGGAAGAGACAACAGCGTTGTAATATGTTAGTGCTAAAGGTGGAATTAAACTCAGGGACACTGAAACTAACACACCACAGAGCTTCTGCACAAAACTCACAATGGGCAGCTTTCTTACAGGATTTCTATCAATATTACGATTTAACTTTTAGACTGTTGCTTAAAAAAAGAGCATTGCTACTCACCGCCACTTGTGCAGAATCCATGAACCTTAATCCAAAGTAGTCGCTTTCTATAAGGTCCAGATGATACATGATCTGCTCAAACAGCAGCTGGCCTTTGGCTTTTTTCTGAAAATATAAAAGGTTTAGTACTCATCAGGCAGATTTATTGCAGTATCTACCTTCTTCTAGGTATACTTTCTATCCTGATTCCAGTAGCTGGAGAATCACAAAATTTAGCATCTGGAAATATAACATGGACCTTTATTCCCCCTCACGTTTTTTGATGGCTGTTTTTCTTAAAGGCAAATGTACACCCCACAGGAAGCACAACTGAGTGGTAAAATGTCATTTTATCATTTTCCCTCTTAGGATCTCCTTACTCACTGAAATTCAACAGAACTGGAAACACTGATAGTACAATTGCAGTAACTAATGCACTGGAAAATTTTCAGAGCCAAGTACAGCAAATTGCTTATGAACTTCCTACTGTTTGATATCTAAGCAATTCACCAGTTTTGAAGCAGGTAGCAAAGCCTATTGAATTAGGATATAGCATTCCATTTGCAAGTGCTTTCAACAGCTACCAGGAAATAGTCTGGGGCAAGCAACTTGAACAAATAGTACTTAGATAACACATTTACAAAAGTAAGTTCATAAAACTCACTTCTAGGTGCAAAAAGCCACCACATATGCTCATACATAATTTATGAAAAAACTTAGCCCTGGCCCCAGGGAAACATAATTTTTACAGTGATGATCTAAAAAATTAAAAAGTTCTTTTTAAAGAGAAGGTATATAAGTAGCACTGTGCAGTTTCTACACAACATAGATTTTTCAGGCTATGAACTCCTTTATAGCAATAAACAGAAAGAACAGTTTAACAGTTATACCTAAGATGCCTATATGTAATAAAATACATTAATAAATTACTAAGTTGGAGTACAAGTCATGGTGTTGAAAAGAAATATTTTTAAATGCAAAGAAATGCAGAAAGGATTTATGCTTACTCTGCAAGAAGCTTAAGGATTCCTTTATTTCAATAATACTATCATCTTGCAATCTTTTTATCTTAATATTTATACATTCACAACTTGAGAAATGGGCTTACTTTTTAAGCATATTTTTAGCAAGCTACTAATTAGCAGATTTAGTTCACCTCTCAAAATTCTGGGTCAGCCATATTCATACTCTCAGAAATAATCAGGTTTAATCAGCAAGTAATATACAAGTAAGTAAAGCTGCATATGTAATTTTTGCCACCTTCCTCTACCCTGATCTTCAAACACTTTATATTTAACTTTGCAATCCTAATCATTGGTTTACTTAATGCATTACTTAAATCCAACACGATATATCACAGTTCAAAGCAAAATATAAAAACAAGTCTGTAAACTGAGCCTGCCTAAGCAAGTCCTCACACAGTTATTTCCAAGTACTGGGGAGAACAGTGGGAATGGAAGGGAAGCAGGACACCTCACGTACACACAGAACCCAGAAACGTTGTGTAATGGAAATACTGAGATGTTGACCTCATCAAATTCATTCAGGACAAGTTTTTTGTGTTGACCTAAGGAAAAAAGTACTTTTCAGGCAGTAGCAGATTTATTAAATACCAGCAAGAATCTCCCAACAGAACCCTTAAGGCTATACATCTATATATGTAAAACCACAGTTTTCTTCCACTATTTGAGTTTGTTGCCTGTCTTTAAAGACCAAGACATTGAACTGTTGATATTTGTCCTCAGCACAGGGTATCTTCTGCTTAAACAATAATATATACTAATAAAAATTAACTAAATTCAGCACTTGTCACAGTAACACTAGAAAAACATTATTTTGCATTAAGCTCTCTGCAGCTTGTGTAAAACTAGTAGAAAATCTGTTCTTGTTGAGCAGAATGTTTTAGATCCTTCCCAATTCCTCAGGAGGTCATCTTTTAAAACTGTAATTAACCAGTTATCTCAGCCAAATTCCCTGCTGGTGACAGGAGCACTTTGACTCAAGCCTGGAATACTCCACATACTATCTCAGACTACCAGCAACTAAAACCGAATTTCTGTAGCATCAAGTTAGTTTCACAGTGTGTTCACCATTTCGGTCATCTCAGCAGAGGATTTGAAGATTAAGTGGACCGAGAATAATGCGCAAGAAAGTCCCTGAAGAAGCAGTGCAGCGGCTGTGGAAAGATTTGCAGGGCTACTCGTTGTTTTCTGACTTAAATCACCAGGGCTATCAACATGGAATTCATTATGTACTACTCTGCATGTCAATTAAATCATCACCAGCTGTATTTGGTGCAAGTCAGCAAAAGCGTCACACATGCTTTACTTACTGCAGTCCTTGCTCCTTATATTTAAATAAATGGCAGGAAAAAATATTATTGCTTTGTAACCAATTTTTAGGGATCAAAATTAGTTTCTTTGTATTCAACGAAACTGCGACATCAGGTGTTTTTAAAAAGCTACGCGACAAAAAGATACACTTTTATTACATTTTCTTGTGAAAAATTGCCCTAACTCTTTAACGGCAACATTCAATTTAAGTGACACTGTTATCCTGCTGCTAACCCCACGCGCTTTTTTAGCTCCTCTCTCCTTTCTTTTCCTTGCAGCAGAGCTCAGGTTACTCTCAAAGGACAAATATTTTCAAACTGCTAAGTAGTTACCGATGAACTATTAACGACTCCACTCACAAACAGTCCAGTCAGTGGCCGGTCCTCCCTTCTGGGCACAAATTAAACTCCTCATGGGTTTACAATTCAGTAAAACCTGACTACTTGATTTACACGCTTTGCTGTTCTCTGTCGGAAGCAACAGCGAACATCTCACAGAAGGAGAATCAACAACAGGAAAACTTCAATAAAATATATCATATATATAAGGCAGGACATCTAATAGTTTTGCCACACTGTGGGATAAAAGCATCTTCTGATCACTTTGGTATGAATCACATGGGCCCCTGCCCCCCTCCCCCTCTTTCCCGAATGAAAGGGATGCTCCCAACTATGTCCTAATGACACCTCCTGCTGTTCTTAATAACTGCAATTGCTGGCTGAGTAGGTGTTACAAAGGCTGGGCTTAACCCCGATAACTCAGCAGAGAGGTGGGGTGTTCACTTCGGCGTGCTGGTTTGTCCCTTCATTCCTGGAATAAGGTGATTTGGAGACATCCACCTCGACCCAGGCACCTCAGTCACTGCCTAAAACTTGAATAAGCAGCATTTCTACCCTTCTCTCACAACCTGCCTGACTGATGTAAAAGCCATTTTCAGCATTAGAGCAACCAGTACAGACCGGCACTGGTGAAGGAATACGGGCTTACAGCAGCTGGGGATGACAGCTTGTGCTGGGTGGGCACCAGCTGAACGGCTCACTTCTGAAGGTTTTTATTAGGTTTTTAATCACAGGGAAGTCTTTTTTTCCAAAACTTGAAACAAATAAAACAACAACAAACCAACCAAAACTCTCACCTAGTTAATTTGCTAACTAAAATGCTTATCAGAAAAGGATTTTCTCCTACTTTTTTCTTTGTGAAGAAATGGAGGTCCCTATATAAGACGAACTTTGGAAAAAAGAGATCAATAGGCATTATCTTCATGGGGACTTAGTATCCTTTGTGTCTTTAGAGTATTCTTTTCATTCAGAAGATTTCTTCAAATGGTCGTATTAGTATTTCTTATTAACAGTAGCCATTGCATCCAGAAGCTGTTGAACAGCAAAACCCTCCCTTCCTAGTTTTTGTCAACTTATCAGGAGGGTTACCATTCATATGCATACTGGTTTCCTTAGAAATACACTGTTTACACACACCCAGAGCAGAGATGGATTCCCATCCAGAATTTACAGCTACCCAGTTGCCAGGATGTCACCTACGCATGTTTGCAGACCAGAGCAGTGCGGAAGCAGCAGATGAGCCTGTCCACCTTTTTAATGAAGTAAATCCCCTTCTCCCAAACGACATGTTTCGAAAAAAAAAACAAGCCATGAGAAAGCTCCAACAGTGAGCTTTAAAGGAAAAGATTTCATCTCAACATCATGCAAACGGTGTCTATGGTTAATACCATTAAGGTCTGCTGGAGAACTGGAGGGTTAAAAGCCCTTATCTTTACAAATGCAGTGTTAGAAGTACACATTATTTGTATCACCCTGATCTTCTTAGGGCTTTAAGCAATGACCTACAAATGGAGCTGCTCCTCTCCTCAAACTCCGAGCACCAGTCTTTCAAATAACTTTTCCAGACTCCCCAATCAATTTTCTCATTCATCTGAAGATGCCACTAGCAGCAAAACACCAGTTCTGCTTCTCTTTGGTTTATCCCTGACAACATGTGCCATATACTGTGGTGAATATAAAGCCTTGCAGCCTCACGGCTGCAGAGAATTTCTACCTCCAGAGACACAGCTTATCAATTCTTCTGTTTACTCAGTGTCTCACAAATACGGGAAGATAACAAATTGAGATTAAACACTTTATTCTGTTATTCCCTGGAAAAAGAAAAAGGCATTTCCCAAAAATCTTTATAAAGAATTGATTTCAATACCCATTATACTGTACATTTATTAGAGTGCTATGTAGAGTGATTTTAATGTACTGTGCTCAGGCTTATTGAACCTATTACATAAAAAGACAAAGACTCAAAACATTCAGACTTGTCAGTTTGTTTTGTGGAAGTCTCTGTTTCATCTCCCTGAAAGTTTATATCTTCTAGCTGATTTATCCCATTTTTGAATTCTCTCTGATATGGAATATATCCAAATTGCTTGTCCAGCATTAAGGTTTAAATGCCTCCCTGCAGTATATTCTCAAACATTTCAGTCTTATTTGGTGTTCCACCTGCAGCTTTCTCAGGAGCACTCTGATTAAGAGCACCCCAGAGCCTCAAGTCCTTTAGCTCTTTTGCAGTGGTAGTTCTTCAGCAGAGGAGGGCTTCAAACAAAATTCACTGTTATACTGTGAGTTAAGAATGCTGAACCTTCAGGCAGCTACACTGGCCTGCAGCACCATCCCCGGAAACACCCTGGCACCAAACTGCAGGCCAAACGATTCACTGTGGCAGCAAACACAGCTCGCTTCCAGCTGCTCCCTTCCTCCCTTTCCAACCGTGCCAGGGCACAGAGCATCGCAGCAA